CCCCCCCCCCCCCCCCGCCATATATTGAACCTTACATTTTAAAGCCCACGAGTCCCACATTTTGTTGATTGACTTTTCCAACAAATGTTTACATTTTTTCTTGAAGTATTCATGATTAAATCAAATATCTGATTCAAAGTTTCTACTAAAATCTGCTAAGTAGTTCTTTGAGCCTGTCGAGGCAATTTTAGGTTTTATTTTTTATTTTGTTTATTTTTGTTCAGAAACAGTTGTTATAATACATGTAAATGGTTTATCACATTACAAGCAAAAAACAAACAAATCCACAGAATTACGCTGATTGTCATTTTGGATAACCACTGAAAACAAAACAAAAAATCCACAGATTCCATTTGGGCCTGGTAATTAGTATTGAGTAGAAACAGAATACTTAACAACTGCTATCATTAAAATTTAGAGAATTACGAGGTGTTTGTACTTGAGTATTTCCATTTTAAGATATTTTATACTTCTAGGGAAACATTGTATTTTTTACTCCACTACATTTATTTATCTGCTTTAGTTACTTTGAAAACTTAGAGAGTTAATACAAAATATAATCAACTAATAAAAGATAACGCATTTTTATAAAACTACCCAGCAGTATTTATATAAAGCCTTTAACATTTAAGTGATTACTGGTGCACTCTCTTTTCTTGCATGTTATCACACAAAATTAACTGCTTAAATGACACAGAGGACACAAAACTTGCATCTGTGATCACCGTTGGGGGGGTTTGATGAATGAATTAAATGACAATCTAGTAGATCAGGGGCTGTTTGTTTTTATTTGGGCTATTCTTATTTTTGAAATAGCCTATATATTTAGTTTCGTAAATATATTATTAGTATTAATAATACATTCAGGGCTGAAGCCACTGACACCCAGGCCTAACAACGCCACTGTCTGCTATTAATCACACTGCTGTCACTTTACTTTGTCATTTTGTATTCAAATGCTCTTGCAACCAAATTTCAATAAAGGCTTATTGTAATGTAAGGATTTAGTACACTGAGTTAGTCAAATAAATTGACTCTATCTCATTGTTTAAGATAAAAATTCCCACAGACACCCCCAGATTTTGTGCAATTTGGATTGCAGCAGCCTCGTACGCTAGTGCGGCGGCATAGCTATAAAATGGTTCATTTTTGTGATAAAAGCACCAAATTTGGCAGATGTGTTGACAAATATATTTAGAACAAATCTTGATATTGGGGCATCAGAAACTCGCCCCCTGGTGGCCAGAGCAGGCAATTGAATCCTACCTTGCCCATGGACCCGTCCCATTAAAGAAGCAACAGACAGCATTTTTGCCTATATATATCATTATGAAAATAATGTGGGTTGCACAGGGTAGTATACACAGTAAAATCAGACTATCAGCGTTTACATAGGTTACTTAGTGACTTTGTAATAAGCTTCTGCCACCAGGGACGAATTTTCGCGGAAAAAAATCTGCTTTATGGCAGGAAATGCGTCACGTATTGCCAAACTGGTCGGTCAGCCAATCAGAGACTGGAGCTGGTCCTTATGAAGAACTGGCCGGGGCATGAGATAGTTGATTCAGGAGCACAATAGCAGACGGACAAAGTTTGGAGATAAGTGAAAAACGGCCTCCCAAAAGAAAACGAGCTAATCTGTCTGAGGAGGAGAGGATGCACAAAAAGGAGAGTGATAAAAGAAGAGGAAAAACAAGAGTAAACCTCAGTCAGGCGTTCAAGAGATGGAGGGAGCTCCGAGACCAAAGAGGCTTCAGAACCGATGTCCAGCTAGCTTTCTTTCTAATGGATCAGTAAGTAACACGGCTAAATGTTAGCTAGCCGAGAGAGGACTGTACTGTACTGGCTGCTAGTTCATTCCTAGCTGGCCAGCATCACAAATCGCCGCAACCAGGGACCGGGTAGCGAGTGTTGGTCGGCTGACATCCTCGTTGCCATTCTACGGCAGCCCTCGGACAGTGATTATCGGGGTTCCATTCCCCTGTCGGGAGTTATTTTTCAACAGTCACCGGCTCACTATACATTATCCCTTACGTGTCTACTGTTGTTTGAACTGATACTGTGCATATTGGTATCATTTACTGTGAGCTGTTTGTACTGGTACTGTGCATTCTGGTATAATTATTTGCATTACTATTTGTGTTTTTCTTCAGATAAATCTGATAATTGTTGCTCGGTCTCTTGACTCATTTATTTAGTAGAGTGTCCCCACACTTTCTCATTCTACATACACATAGAGGTATAATGGTGGCTTTACAGCCTACATTTTATTGATTATCTCTGATCCCCACGGTCAATTTGGTCTTTGCGACAGTGTGAGCAACACCGCTGATGATAGGTGGCGCCAAGCTAAAAAAACCCCGAATCCTATCTGTTGCCTCTTTAAGGTCTGCTCAAAGATAATCAAAGTCCAGCAGAGAGACTGAAGCTGTCTTTGGGATAAATATGAAGGCCAGAAAGCAAAAGGAATTACTAGCCAATTTAATCACGTCCTGTCTAACGTGCCAGTGTGCATCTTTTGCCCATGTATCGATCTCTGACATATTACTACTGCTGCTTGTTTCTGCCTGTGAGTTTGTGTATGGTCTGGGTAGATTGTAAAACAGAATTGCCCTTCTGGGATAAACAAAGTTGTCTGAACTGAACTAAACTAAATAGATCAAATCTCACAGTAAGGCTGCAGGTGCAGTTTAATTTCTTCTGGTAAACAGATAAACAGAAACCAGACAAAGTAAACTTTACTTATTTACTAGATATCATTAATCTTTCAAAGCCATTGTACAATCCCAGTAATTTGTGTTGACAAAACACAGATTTTAAAGTAAGAAAGTTTACAGTATACAATCCAGTAGTTACTGCTGCACACATTTTCCAGTGGCAGTGACAAAAACACCTGTAGCAAAGGTCTGAAGTTAATCACTCCTTAAAAACATGCCTGATCACAAAAGCTGCCATGGCCTAAGAGGTCTGCAACAAAGTGTTATTCTGCATCATGTCACATACAGATATGTATAAAATAATATACTCTTCAATTACTGAAGTGAAATTATGAGCCTATTACATTTGATCACATATGTGAGGTATTAGCAAAATTACCATGATACATGCTACCACATTTGTTCAAATACCTAGACAAATAATAGTCTAGATTATACAGGCTCATCAGTAAATCAGTAAAGTTAGATAGAACTGACCTCCACTAAAGTCAGTGTATGCAATGAGTAGCATGCATCCGCTTTAACAAAAAAAAAAAAAACAACAATCCACTTAGACCTTTTTATAAATTCATGTCCGTGTTTTTTTTTTTTTTTTCATATACAACTTCAATAAATTTTAAATTTCTCTACATGAAAACTGCCTTTGGATAAAATGGAAGCATTAAAATGTTAGCATGCAATCTACTGTCCTGAAAACTCTAAGTGTGTGTGACAAAAGTACCTGATTGTGAATCTAAAGTGATTTACTGACTCACACCCACCCTGATCATTGACCTAAGACCAATTCATACGAAAAAAAGTGGAAGATTAGTGTATGTGACAGTGGTTTTGTTTGGTCAGACTGGTGTTGTATTAATGTACAGTAGTACAAATTCCATCTCGTCACAAAACAGGACGTCAACAGTTGGCTTCGTTCAGGAAGATAAATTAGTCCATTTTCTCTTCAATTCGTCCCATTTTGGTACGCATGTTTCGTGCTAGGAAGAAGCCAATGGTGGCCATGGCCATTATCACCTCGGCTACCCAGAAAGCAAAGTCCCAGCTGTGCTGTTTAGCAATAGTGCTGAAGGGAAGCCCCGCCATAAAAGCCCCCACTGCAACAAAAGAAAGCTTGTTTAATAACAATAACAATAACAATAACAATAACAATAATACATTTGATTGATGGGCTCGTTTCAAAGCACTCAGACACCTTACAAGACACAGTTATAAAACAAGCAGCAATCTAGCCATGGATCATTAAGTCAAAAAATCAGTAATATACAATAATAAGTTATAAAATAACTAGACAAAATTATAATTATGAAAAATTAGGTATAAAATCATCATCATAAAGTCGTCATCAGTGGAAGTCTAAATATGTGTGTCACCATTAAATCAGACCGAACAGGCCAGTTTGAAAAGGTGTGTTTTCAGATGGGGTTTAAAAGTCGAAATAGAGTCAATATTGTGAATGTCTTGTGGGAGAGAGTTCCAAAGGCTCTAGACCCCATGGTGGTCAAGCAGGCAGATGGTGATGTGAGCTGGATTGCAGAAGATAAAGAGTACGGAGGGTGTGTAGATATGATAGAGTTTGGATAGGTAGGAAGGGGCTTGATCATGAAGGCCAGTAAAGGTGAGACAAAGAAACTTAAAATCGATGCAATATTTAAGAGGAAGCCAGTGAAGCTTCTGGAAGCAAGATTGACATAATCTTTGGAGGGGATGATATGGTCGGCTGAATTATGGACCAACTGGAGTTTATGAAGACACTTGAGACAAAGACAGAGATGCAATAATCGATGCGAGATGTAAGAGTGAACAAGAAGGGCGGTGCTGTTTCGTGTAAGAGATGAGCGAAGAAGACAATCAATATTATGTAGATGAAAATATGTAGACCGAGTAACATTATTGATATGAGCCTCAAATGACAATGTACTGTCCAGGGTGACACCCAGACTCTTAACCTGAGGGGCATGATGGACTTTGGAGTTGTCAGTGGTCAGGGCAGTGCCAGCAAGTGGCATAAGCTGTATGGGTGAATGCTTAGCTGTATTGTTATCATGTCAAAATGACAAAAAAACTCTCTGGTGCCCACTCAACTATCACTACACTACTGAGAGGAGTGGATGTGGAGAGAGAGAGAACATGAAGAAAAAAATGGGCAGGAGTAGAGCTAGTTACTGTTACCTATAAAGCAGTCAGTGGCCGCATCCAGCAGCTCACAGAGGTTACATTGATTTTCATTGTGAAGCATTCAAGCGCTATTCAGTAAAAATAAGTATTGGGTGAAGGTAAATCATAATGCTCTCGTGAAAACATCCACAAATTCCTCCTTCAAAAAGCTGGATTTATTTAAGTTTCTCATCAAAAGCTAAATTTACAAGATTATGGTGAACACATCATAAGTACTATAAAATAAGTATTAGAGAGGGAAATTATGACGTATCATATATAGTTAAAAAGGCTTTTTATTTTTAAGATGTTTTTCATGACAGAAGGTTATGTTAAAGGTTGTTACATAAATGTGTATCATTGATTTTGTGCCCATTCAAAGGTAGTGTAACGAAGGACTGAATGACTTTAAAACTGTTCATTTATTTTTTATAGTGTAGATTTCTGTTTTTTCCCTGGTACACAAGAAGAATAAATAAAAAAACAAAACAAAGAAAGACCAATATAAAAACATCAGTGTCAGCTATTGGCCAAATTGTCATTTAAAACACTGGTATCAGTATCGGCCCAGAATTTCAAAATCGGCGCATCCCTAGTTCAATTAGAAAGTTAATGTGTATATTTTATTATTATTCTAAAATGTTATATATCATTTTATTTATTCTTCTGAGTTAATTTGAAATTCTTTTTTTATTTATTATTGATTTATATGATTATTACAACACATGTACAACATGTTACTGAAAACAAATTAGCACATATTTGACCTTATTTTTTTATTGTTAGCTAAGTTATTTACTTTTTGGTAAAAAGCGTGCAATACTTTGACTGTTAAAGGGGGCTCACATAGGGCACTAAATTTGCTAGAACCGCCACTGTTTCAGGGAGAGACTATGCGGTTAAGCAAAAACAAATGTAGTACCTACACACCTCCCAACATTCAAGACCATGCTCAAAACTCACCTTTTTAAATTAGCTTTTAATGTATAAGTTTGTGTTTTACACTGTTTTATTGCTGTTTCGAGTTTTATTTTATTCTGACTTAGCTCTCTTCTATGGTTTTTCAAAACTGTTAAGTGTCTTAGAACATTTGTAAAAGTGCTTACAAATAAAATGTATTATTATCATTTATTATTATTATTATTATTATTATTACTACAAGGAGTCATATGAATCTATCAATGCTGAAATACTACAGGACGTGATACAGATGTTTCTACTGGTCATGTGAATCTGCAGCTTACCATTAGCCATCAGTGCTACAACAGCATGAGAGGTTCCACAAAAATTTGAAGGAGCACTTTCACTTGCTATCACCCCAAACAAAGCAATTGGTCCGTAAGAAGAAAATCCAAACATTGCACCAAGGAACAGGATCCAGATCTGTGTAGGACAATATGAAAATGTAGAACAGTGTTCTTGAAAGCTACAATTTTGATACCCATGAACCCAAAACATTTTTAACATACCTCTTTTTCTGGTACACCAATGTGAATGGAGACAGGATGAAGGACTTGGACCCAAACAGGAGCCTCCTGAGCAAACATAATAATCTCTCATGATATTTTCAACATGGACAACATGTTGATTTCAAGCATTTTACACAGTAATAAAAGAAATTGTGTTGCAATTACCTTCGGAATTTCAGGTGTGATAGTGACCCTGAAGAGGTACATGGACACATACATGCCAGCCATCATGAGAATGAGCAGGCCATGACGAGGGTTGCCGTAGGTGTCCAAGCCTTGCTGGAGGGAGTCAAAGAGAGGATGTTTTTTAACACTGACCCCGGCTGAATAAACTCAGTCATTTCTGCCCAATTCATCCCAGCCTATCACTTACCCGAGCTACAGCTCTGTCAGAGAGGAAGCCTGCTGCAAGGCTGCCCACAAAACCTCCCACCTCCAAGGCACTTGTGTAGGTACTGCCTGTGAGCAACACAGCTGATGTCAGCACCCACAACCAGTTAGACAGAGTGAAAATCAGTGAGAAGCAATGGACAATTAAAATGCATACCCATCAGAGCAGTCTGGCCTTTCTCCTGCATGAGGAACAGCTGTCCCCAGTCAGTGGCAGCCGTCTTCACCCCAAACACCACCAAGTAGCCCAGAGACAGCACCCACAGAAAAGGAGAGAGGATGAACTCACTCAGGGTGCTCTCATTGTTGCCTGGTGAATTCAAGTACAGACAGTGAGTTACTAACATGCTCAAATAAACTAGACATCAGCAGTGGGTCAATATACAAGCAGTACAGTATACAGGAAATGCAGTAGTATGTGTGTGGGTTAAAAACATATTTTAGTTATATTCTATACATCCCCATCACATGGTGTAGCCAAGTCCCATCGAAATCAGTAAAAATTATGCGTATGGACTGGGTACTGCAGTTGTGTGTTGATGATGGTATCTGGCTGCTTATACTGTACATCAGTTCTGAAAGATTCAATCTCAGAGAGTCACACAGATCTGTTAAAAATTTCAAAAATATAGTAATGTCCAGCCAACCACACAGAGACTGAAAGATCTGTTTGTCACATACTCATATGAACAATATGGTCAGTAAAATGCAGAGGTGGCATACTCTTAAGCAGGGGCACTCAGATACAAGTCTTTAGGTCCACTTGCAAAATTTCCAGTGTCACAGTTCCAAGAAGGAAGGATTAAATCACTGATATTTACCAGGGACTCTAGGACTATGTGCACAATATAAATGTCTATATTCAATGAAGAAATTACACCTTTGTGTCATAGCTAAGTCCTGGGCACAAAAGGTATGACAAAGGAGAAACTGATCTCATTGTTCACTGGTGATTTACTGCTGTAAAACTTTTTCACTGTATTCATGGTGGAAAATGCCATTTCTCTTGATTTTACAATTTCTACCAGTAGCTTGATGTGACAACTTCAGCTTGTGAAATTTTGTGCTTTTTACATGTGAGCTCTGCATTATTCAATATGGCCAGAGTTACATTAAGAAAATTGGTCTCTTGCTTTTTCCAGGGGAAAATGAGCACGTACTTCTGAGCAGTGGTAAGGTAAGGTAGTTACAACGGGCCCCACTGCATGCTATTATGACAGGCTCTAGTGAACTCTAATTACTGTTTATGCTCCTAAACTAAAAACTGTGTAATCTTATCATCTTGTCACATGATCAAATGGAGACTTGATAACACCAACATACCCAGATATAATCATTGCATATATGTATATGAGAAAAACACCAAAGAAATTAAGGAATTTATCATTTAATTGAATCTTTTTCTTATAGATTATTTATAGTTTCTGTATAATAAGCATATATTTGATAACATATTTTGTTATAGATTGCTTCCGACTGTAAATACAACAAAGGAAAACCATGATGGGGATGGGTTTGACATTTCAAGCAAGAGTACCCAACTGCAGGCAAGATGGCGCCATATACATTGCGCCGCCATATATCCAGTCCATACCGGAAGTTAATCTTCTTCATGTATACATACCGGAAGTCAGTTTTTTTGTTTTTTTCCCCAAGAAGTCGGTTTTAAGTCTGTCTTTTTTTCATATTTATTTTAGCAATGTATTTACAAACTTTGAAGCAGTCAACAATTATAAATATATATATATATATATACATATACATATATATACAGTACAGGCCAAAAGTTTGGACACACCTTCTCATTCAATGCGTTTTCTTTATTTTCATGACTATTTACATTGTAGATTCTCACTGAAGGCATCAAAACTATGAATGAACACATGTGGAGTTATGTACTTAACAAAAAAAGGTGAAATAACTGAAAACATGTTTTATATTCTAGTTTCTTCAAAATAGCCACCCTTTGCTCTGATTACTGCTTTGCACACTCTTGGCATTCTCTCCATGAGCTTCAAGAGGTAGTCACCTGAAATGGTTTCCACTTCACAGGTGTGCCTTATCAGGGTTAATTAGTGGAATTTCTTGCTTTATCAATGGGGTTGGGACCATCAGTTGTGTTGTGCAGAAGTCAGGTTAATACACAGCCGACAGCCCTATTGGACAACTGTTAAAATTCATATTATGGCAAGAACCAATCAGCTAACTAAAGAAAAACGAGTGGCCATCATTACTTTAAGAAATGAAGGTCAGTCAGTCCGGAAAATTGCAAAAACTTTAAATGTGTCCCCAAGTGGAGTCGCAAAAACCATCAAGCGCTACAACGAAACTGGCACACATGAGGACCGACCCAGGAAAGGAAGACCAAGAGTCACCTCTGCTTCTGAGGATAAGTTCATCCGAGTCACCAGCCTCAGAAATCGCAAGTTAACAGCAGCTCAGATCAGAGACCAGATGAATGCCACACAGAGTTCTAGCAGCAGACCCATCTCTAGAACAACTGTTAAGAGGAGACTGCGCCAATCAGGCCTTCATGGTCAAATAGCTGCTAGGAAACCACTGCTAAGGAGAGGCAACAAGCAGAAGAGATTTGTTTGGGCCAAGAAACACAAGGAATGGACATTAGACCAGTGGAAATCTGTGCTTTGGTCTGATGAGTCCAAATTTGAGATCTTTGGTTCCAACCGCCGTGTCTTTGTGAGACGCAGAAAAGGTGAACGGATGGATTCCACATGCCTGGTTCCCACTGTGAAGCATGGAGGAGGAGGTGTGATGGTGTGGGGGTGTTTTGCTGGTGACACTGTTGGGGATTTATTCAAAATTGAAGGCACACTGAACCAGCATGGCTACCACAGCATCCTGCAGCGACATGCCATCCCATCCGGTTTGCGTTTAGTTGGACGATCATTTATTTTTCAACAGGACAATGACCCCAAACACACCTCCAGGCTGTGTAAGGGCTATTTGACCAAGAAGGAGAGTGATGGAGTGCTGCGGCAGATGACCTGGCCTCCACAGTCACCGGACCTGAACCCAATCGAGATGGTTTGGGGTGAGCTGGACCGCAGAGTGAAGGCAAAGGGGCCAACAAGTGCTAAACACCTCTGGGAACTCCTTCAAGACTGTTGGAAAACCATTTCAGGTGACTACCTCTTGAAGCTCATGGAGAGAATGCCAAGAGTGTGCAAAGCAGTAATCAGAGCAAAGGGTGGCTATTTTGAAGAAACTAGAATATAAAACATGTTTTCAGTTATTTCACCTTTTTTTGTTAAGTACATAACTCCACATGTGTTCATTCATAGCTTTGATGCCTTCAGTGAAAATCTACAATGTAAATAGTCATGAAAATAAAGAAAACGCATTGAATGAGAAGGTGTGTCCAAACTTTTGGCCTGTACTGTATGTGTGTGTGTGTGTGTGTCATAAAAATAAATAATGATAATAATAATAATAATAATAATAATAATTAAAGCTGCAAGCAGCTGTGATCGGGCCCTCGCTCCCCCATACAACCGTGGGGGCCTGAGGCACATGGGGGCTGTGGCGCGAAACAAGAAGGGAGAAAAACCTGGCAGGAGCAAAAAGGCAATGTTCCATTCATCCACCAGGTAGCGCTACGAGCGTAACAAGATGTGGCCAGGTGCGTTCAGGGGTGGACCCTCATCACACATGTGAAATTTCGAGCAAATCGGACATTGCATCAAGGATTTATACCAAGTTGATGTTCCCGTGGCCGCCGCGGCAGCCTGCAACATGACAGCACACGTGTGTTACTGTGGAGATTCATCAACTTGATCATCGTGTGGCCACAAAATGTAGTTGATCAGGTCAGGAGCTTGAGGTTGGTGTTTGTCGGTGTAAAAGATGGCATTTCCTGTTTCCACAAGGGGGCGCCATGAGCAAGATTGCCTACGAGCATATGGAGGTGTTGAGGGTGGGGCTCTTATCATGTACAGAAATTTTTAAGCAGTTTGGATGACGTATGTGGGAGAGAGAGCTGCTTCAATATGCATGGCGATGCATCAACAATGGCAGCGCCATAGCAGCCACACCCTTTGACCTACAGACATGCAGAGCACAACTTATAATCAGCATGGTCTCTGGATGATCTGTAAAAAATTTGAAGTCGATGAAATCCCTAGGACTAGTTCGTTAAAATACAACATGTGGAAATCACGCCAAAATGACAAGTCAAAATCAAAATGGCCGACTTCCCTTTTGGAGTAGACCATTGGTGCCAGAGACTTTTATGTGCGTCTGGACAACATACACATGTGTACCAATTTTCATGTTCCAACTCCAAAAAAAACCCTATGGGGAGGGTTTTTGAAAATTTCAAGGGGGCGCTATATAGGCATTTTGTCCCCCCCCCCCTCCCATGGGCAACGCCCCTATCAGATGCAAGAGCTCGACATTCTTGACCTGTGTGTCAATTTTCATGAGGATATGGGGACGCTGAAGCCATCAAAAAGCCAAACGTATTTGGTGGCGAGGGAGGCACCATAGCGGCCACGCCCCTTGACATAGAGAAAACCTTTTAATAACTTTTGAACAGCATGGTCTCTGGATGATCTGTAAAAAAATTGAAGTCGATTGCATGAAATCCCTAAGACTAGTTTGTTAAAATACAACATGTGGAAATCACGCCAAAATGACAAGTCAAAATCAAAATGGCCGACTTCCTGTTTGGAGTAGACCATTGGTGCCAGAGATTTTTATGTGCGTCTGGACAACATACACATGTGTACCGATTTTCATGTTCCAACTATAAAAAAACCCTATGGGGAGGGTTTTTGAAAATTTCAAGGGAGCGCTATAGAGGCATTTTATCCACCCCATGGGTGACGCCCCTATCAGATGCAATAGCTCGCCATTCTTGACCTGTGTATCAATTTTCATGAGGAGATGAGGCCGTTGAAGCCATCAAAAAGCCAAACGTATTTAGAGGCGAGGGATCGATAGTCGCCACGCTGCCACACAGACACCATTAGACGTAGCTTCACAGTGTTCCTAAGGTATCTCCACTAACTTGTTCTGCATGCATTAGAAGTGGAATGACGTTGATGCGGTCAAGTTTGTGGCATCAGTACATGTTAAAGTAAAAACTGGTCACTTCCTTTTNTGTTCTGCATGCATTAGAAGTGGAATGACGTTGATGCGGTCAAGTTTGTGGCATCAGTACATGTTAAAGTAAAAACTGGTCACTTCCTTTTACCACTGGGGGGCGCTAAGAGTAAGGTGGGATATTAACATATTGGGTCGTTCGGGGCGGAGCCATCATCATGTCCAGCAAGTTTGAAGCTGCTGAGA